TCTGGCTCTCCTCTCCTGCTAAGCTTTGTTTCCTGTTGAACAATATGGAATAAAGTTGTTAATCTAAACATATTAAGACTCAAGGCTATAATCCAACAGCAAGTTGTTTCCCACAAATTTTGCTGATCTGAACATTAATATCCACAATTTTACTGCAATTATAATGTTAACTATGTTGCACTGCTTAGCTACATTAGGGTTACTGGGTTTATCAGCAATTATGAAAATTAAAGCCAGCACAAAAAAGGTGCTTGCTTACCTGGAAGTGTTTAAAACCTTCTGCCACTGCCATAGCTACTGCTGCTGCTGGAGCCACCATAGCCACCTGAAAGAAAATCTCTCTTAGGCCTTGGAAGCACTGAATATAAATAACTTTGTATGTAAGACAATGCCAAATTCATGACTCTGGCTATTCAAAACCACCCTTGCCAGGGCCATCCCAGATAGCTCAGCTGATTAAAGCTCCTACTTAAGCAGACACAGGGACCAGGGTTCAATCCCCAAAGGTGCACCAAGAGGGATGACAGATTGGGAAGTGATGGCACTGGTCTATAATCCCAATTTTTAAAATCCCAGTTCTTGGGAGGCTGAAAACAGAAGGATCACTAGAGTTCAATCTGTGTAGTGAGACCCTGTACTAAATACATTAATATATATGTATGTAATATATAAAAACTTTTTTTGAGACAGGGTCTGCCAATGCAGTTTAAGCTGGCCTTGAGCTCACTTTGTAGCCCATGCCAGTCTGGAACTTACAAATATCCTCCTGCTTTATAGTCTCCTACTGGATTACATGCATGCACCACCAGGCCCAGCCCTTTTTGAATTTGACACAGGGTCTTGCTATATAGTCTAGGCTGGCCTTGAGTCAGTGATGCTTCTGGCTCAGCTTTCCAACTGCTGGGTTTTTACAGGTGTGGCAGTATGCCTAATGAAAGAGGTAATATATTTGCCACTACTAGATCTACTTAGCCTTCTGCAATTTTTCCATACTATATACTATACCTTGATTTCGTGGTTTGGTAAAATATTGGCCTCCACCTCCATAGGGCCCAGAGCTTCTGCCTCCAAAGTTTCCTCCCTTCATGGGTCCAAAATTTGAAGACTGACTGTTGTAATTGCCAAATTCATTATAGCTTCCACCACCTCCATAATTGCTTCCTAGAAATGGAAAGACCTTCATCTGTTATTTGGAGAAGATGAGTGATGGGTACCCAACTGAGTTTAGTGTTCAGAATAGAGGACGTTAACTGCCTTCCTTCCTCCCAAACTGGTGCTTTCAACTCTGTGTCTAACTCTCTCCGTAAGGCATTCACATTGAATAATCCATCAAGAACATCAACCCAACTCACCATGATACAAATTTGAGTTTTCCTGGTAGCACTTACAAGCACTCTACAGTCTTCAAGGCCTTCATGTCTCCCATGCCAATGTAAACAAATTTTGTGTATATGTATCAACTAAATACCTAAAGTCCCCAAATTTAGATACTATATCCTGCCATGATGCTAACCTAACTCAAATTCAAGACATCACTGTCCACTTATCCATCTACTTTTTGGGAGTGAGGCGGCCCCAGCTTAAAGCCAGGAGGAGGTAGCACAGCAAGCTTTTTTATAACGTACCATGCAGTGTACCACACAATGCTTTAAGAGCTTCAAATTCCAACAAGGGCACAAACTCTAACAGGCTAATCTAGCTATCACACCAAGTACTTGGAGCACTGGATACCTACCACTACCACCGCCAAAGCCGCCTCCGCCTCCTCCGTTGTTATAGCTGTCATAGCTGCCACTCCCGCCATAGCCACTGCCCTGGTTTCCATAACCCTGTCCACCACTTCCATAACCTCTGCTTCCTCCAGAGTAACCAGGGCCGCCTCCTCCATAACCACCTACAAGAATACAATTCTTCTCAATAAGACAAAAGTATTTAACAATATAAATATGTTCACGTCTAAGGACTGTAAGCCTATTCACAGCATGCGTATTATGGGCTGATTGAGCATGTCATGCACTAGGTTTAGTTTCTACTAGCCTATTCTAAAAATACAGGTTGGCAAAAAATTTACTTACATATTCCTTTAAAAACTTACCATCATTACCAAATCCATTGTAGCCATCTCCACTGCCACCATAACCACCCCCACCACGGCTGCCACCAAAGCCACCTGAAAGAAAACAAAATTTTATGTAAGGTTTGATGCATGTCAATTATATACCAAACACCACCTTATTTGAAAAAATTGCTGGGCTTGGCCGTGTATGTCTGTAATCCCAGCACTTAGAAGACTGAGAAGGATCAGTTGGAAGACTGAAATGAGCCTGAGCTACAAAGTAAACGCAAGGCCAATCTGAAAATTAGATCCTCCCTCAAAAAAAGAAGTGAAAAGGACAGATAAAACTGCAAAACTGTTTTCTAAGTATGCCTTACCTCGACCACTGAAGTTTCCTCCGCGACCGAAACTGTCATTGCCACCAAAACCTCCTCCACGACCACCACCAAAGTTTCCAGAACCACTTCGACCTTAAAAGTGAAGTTCAGTGTTAAACAGTAGTTTACAGTAACTTAAATTTACCTCTAAAGTTTTAACTAGGTAAATATACCTCTTTGGCTAGATGAAGCACTAGCCATCTCCTGCTTGGACAGGGCTTTCCTCACTTCACAGTTGTGGCCGTTCACAGTGTGGTATTTTTGAACTGAAAAAAATTAAAGCAAAAAAGGACCTTAGGATTTCGATAGTAGATGATTTTAGAGCCCTTAATAAATGCTACTGATTAGCTACTTACTGACAATCTTATCCACAGAGTCATGGTCATCAAAGGTTACAAAAGCAAAGCCCCTCTTTTTTCCACTGCCTCGATCAGTCATAATTTCAATCACTTCGATTTTTCCATATTGTTCAAAATAATCTCGTAGATGATGTTCTTCAGTATCTTCTTTAATGCCACCAACAAAGATCTTCTTCACCGTTAAGTGGGCACCTGGTCTTTGAGAATCCTAACAGAATAAAAATCCACTATATTAGGTAAAACCTGCCCTGAGATTTGAAGAATTTAAAAAGCTTATTTAAGTTTGATGTAACAGCACACCACCACGTGGAAAAAG